AAATAGTCTGATTAAGAGGGAAAGAAGAGAAATAAAAGAAAGAAAGATCGGTATCATCATATATATATATATTACTCGTAATCTCTCGGTTCAGTTGATTTCAATTCAGTTGAAATGCTGAGATCGTCTATCAAGAAAAAAAAAAAGAAAAAAAAAGCGAAAATATTGTCATAAGAAAATAATATATAATCTTATCATACATTTTTTTTTTCTTTGAACACATTTTTACGCATTACCCACCCTAATACATACATAGATATATACATGCGCGTATGTGTGTCATGAGATGAACAAGTTTTTGGGGAGACCCAAAAATAAATTCTGATTCGATGCAATAATTGGAATTTGATAAGAAAAAAAAAGAAGCTTGATTATATTGAAAGATTTATTGTATATTGCAAAAAATAACTGAATTAAATTTAATTAACAGAAATAATAATGCAACGAATTTAATAATAATATTTGATGGAAAGAAGTAAAAGGTGAGAGAGATAGGATAAGAAAGAAAGAAATGAGGAAAAGTTATCTAAAGATATATTATTTTTTTCTATTTTTTTTTTTTTTCAAGTAGTTTGATTATTACGTTTAGTATTCGTGTCAGTCAATTTTTATCTAATAAATGAACATATATATATATAATATAAATATAATGTACTATATATATATATTAATAATTACCATATTATTTAGTATATTATACTAGTACTTTAGTACTATATATATATTTAATATATTATATTAAATTAAATTAAATTATATTATATTTTAGTATATTATTATATTTATAGTACATAAATACATATTTAGTATATTTTAATATATATAGTATATTAATATAGTATATTATAGTATATATATGGTATATTATATTAATGAAATTGATAATTTATAAATTTTTATCTATTAAATTCTAATTACATTCTAAAATTACATTCTAAATATATATATATATATATATATATAGTTATACATAAAGTAGAATTCTTATTAAATTAAATAGATAATTGTGATATTTTTAATTTTGTCTAGTTTAGTATTAGTATTTGTATTTGTATTTGTATTAGTAACCTCGACCCACTTGAAGATTTGCCTGACCACCCCTACTGTCATAAAAATGGACCTAGGAATCGTAAAAAAACGTTTGTGTAGTTCTTATACGTGTGTGTGTATTTACGTGTTGTATCATAGAGATGATTATCCGTTTTGCAAGCAAGTTCTGAAGCGTCTATAAATAAATATAGATTATCGCAATACTCGATCGTTGCTATAATTTATCTAACGCTTATGTTTGTTCCTCCTTTTCTTTTCTTTTTTTCTTTTCTTTTCTTTTCTTTTCTTTTCTTTTTTTTTCTTTTTTTTTTTTCCTTTTCTTTCTTCCATTTTTAGTTTCTTTTTTTTTCTTTTCACTTTTTTCTTTTTCATAAGATTAATTGTTTTTAACTAAACGATCGATAATAAATCAATTCTTATTCTTCTTTCTCTCATTTTTTTTTTATCCATCGTATTTTTTTACTTTAATTTTCGTTCCAATTTTTTTTTGTCCGATCGATTGAAAAAAAAAAACACACACACTTGCAAAGATACAGAAATTATTGTATTTCTCTTTCTATTTTGATATATATATATATATATTTATTTATTTATTTATTTATTTATTTATTTATTTATTTTTAAAAATTATTTTTACTCAATTTTTGTTTGTTTATAATTTAATATTAATTTAGTTGAAATAAAGTAATCAATGAATTAAAAAATTTCTTGTTTTATACATTACAGTTTTAAATTAAACCTTTTTAATATATACAGAAACCAAGAATATGATTGACGCGTTATCTCTTGCGAATAATTATTACAAATACATATACACGTACATAACATATACATACATAAATATATATTTATATCATTTACGGATCGTTGCATTTGCGATCATCGTGCATATTCGAATACATTAATGAAATGAAAATGTTATTTGGCAACAAAGATCAATCGATCCAATCGATCGATGTGCGTCAAACGAATACAGAAAGAAAAAAAGGAGTGGGGGCAACGCGCAAAGGAGTAGGGAAACGGCTAAAGAAGTGGGGAAAGTCTGCTGGAGTGGTGGGGAGAAGAGAAACTTCGTTCATAGTTCTTAATGATTATATATATCGTTGAATACAGATTAATTATCAGTTTGGTTTATCCTATTTTGTCAAAGTTGTGTTTCTCGAGGCCATAAACGTAATCATTCACTCACTAACTCTATCACTAACTAATTCCCCTTCTCCTCCCCTCCCCTCCCCTTTTGTATTTTAGCTCTAAATTCTATGAAAACATTCAAACAAGGAATCCTCTCTCTTAGCTCCTCGTTATCTTTAGCGATAACTCGTTCAAGGCCATTAACTGGATAATTGGACACAGAATAGTTTCATCATTGTGTAACCTGTTCAGATAACCTCGAGACATATTTGTTTTTTTTTTGACTGAATGCTTTTGTTTTTTTTTTGTTCTAATTACTATACTTTACTCGTCTTAATTGTAAGTCCAAAAAATTGTTGTTATTGTCTTTTTTTAATGTTAGGAACTTTATTTCGTATTATTCGAGTGTCGATTGATAAATACGGTGATTAAAATTTCGCATGATCGTTCGTTCAAAAAATAAAAACAAAAGTGTAACGCGTGATAATTATTATTTTTGGATGTGTTATTTATTCTATTCTACTAATCATTTTTTAATTTTAATTTATTTACAAAATAAGATTGGGAAAAAAAATAGAAAAGTAAGAGTGGGTGGTTTATTAATAAAATAATTTTATTTGACAAGACAAGTGCACAAAACTTGTAACAAATATTAAACTCGGAGAATTTTCGATCCTGATAAATAAATAAGGAAATATATATATATATATATTTATATATGTTGATACGTATCATCAATATAAAATATCATAACTCAAGAAACATAAGTGCACAATGGCTGATTTTTCTTCTTTTCTCGGTTTTCATCGGTTCGAATACGAAACAGGAGAAGGAGGAGAAAGAGGAGGTGGTGGTGGAAGTGTTGTTGCAGCGCAAAATAATGTTTACACCTGTTATAATATCTTGTTCACACAAAATTGTTCGAAAATCAAACGATTTATGTCGTACGAATAGTATACTGTATATGTTCACTGCAGCATCATCATCATCGTCATCATCTATATATATATAACATATTTTATAAATTATTATTTAATTCTGTAACTTCGTAAAACATTTTTTAAATCGTATTTACAAATATATATCAAATCATTTTTTACAGAAAAGCGGAACACGGTTAATCTTATTTGCAAGTTGAATCGTTCACAGATTTGTTTGGTGATAAACGATATAATAATAATAGTAATAATATCAAGGGAGAAGTCCAAAAGTGTCAATGTTGTTTATTGTAATCTGATTTAACTCGAATTTACGGATACGATCACTCATTGTATATATGTGTACGTATTTTTTCGAAATTTTATTCAAACTGTAAATTATCCACCCTCCTTTCGATGCCGCCATTTAATGCGTATAATATTCTGCATTTAAAATGCTGATAAATAAAGTTGAGAAAAATATATTTATACAGATGTACGTATTACGCATATACGTATGCACATATATACATGTTTATATATGTTCATAAATATATACAGTCGTAAGATTATTAATTTCCTACTCGTTAATAATTTATTTTATTGTATTCCTTTTTATTATTTTTTTAAACTTAACAAATGAATTATTTTTTTTTTATAAAATAGTCATTCCCCTATAGATAAACAAATATATAATATAATAATTAAATTATTAATAACATTATATATAATATTATATTAATAGGTGTGTAACTTTGTTTCCGCCATTTTTTTTACAAGCCATCTGTAGGAAAATAATGGAAGCAAACTTATACACCTAATAATTGTTTTAATATTCTTTTAAATATTATAATATTATTAAATAGAAATAATTATAAATAATATTTTTAAATTAATATAAATAAATTTATATTTATTTAATATACCTATATATATATAAATTTTGATAGGTAGATCAAGAACCATTTTCCTGACTACATTCTTTTTTACCAAGCGTGGAATTAAGATATTGGAGGCAAAAGTGGTAAGGGAAGGGAAAGGGGTAGGAGGAAAGGGTTCAAAAGTTGAACGCAACACTTCTGTTTCGTGTAGTTATCAAACACACATCCTTCTGGTACCTATACTTATATAAATAGGCACGATAAGTAAGTGTATCTATTTCTAGATACACGTTTCTGTTATTAGTAAAGGGGTAATTTTCATCTTGGTTATTCGATGGGTTCCCATAAGGAACTTACTAGATAAGTCTGTTTGACTCTATAGATCCTATCATCATCATCAACACTAAATTTCGATGGGAAAGGAAAAAAAAATATGAAGTCATTCGATATTTTTTTTAACGTGTGAGAAGATTATTTGACTTTACCGAAATAATAATTAATATTTAATATTAATAAAAAATATTTTATTATATATAATAATAAATTATATTAAATAAAATATATATTAATATTTTTTATTTTATATATTATAATTATATATATATTATATATTATATAATATATACTATAAACTATATAAAAAAAAAACAAAAAGGTCCATTCAAAATTATCACCCACCATTTTATGGTAAATTTTATCATATTGCATTTTCAAATGCAATTATAATAAATTTAAAGCATGTATATAGATTTATATATATTTAATTTATTTAATTCAACTGATCTTATTATCATAAATACCAAATCCAATTTTGCAAGAGAATAATATTAATACTAAATCAAAAAGAAGTTCAACATAACCTCTAATTACTACTCATCCTTCCCCTCATGGAAAATTTGATTACAGTGGATTTTCAAATGCAATTATGACGAACTTCATACATATGTATATGATGATGATGTATACCTATATGCATATGTTTATATTATTTTAATTGTTTTATTGTTGATTCTTGTTACAGCAATCCACGAGCTTCGCGAAATATGGCAGAAAAACAACGTCGAGATAATCTCAATACCAATATCTCGACTATGGCGTCCCTTGTGCCTATTATCGTTGGATGTCCGAGAAGGTTGGACAAGATATCTATCCTACGATTAGCTACGTCATATTTAAGAATGGATTACAGTGAGTTTGGGGAATTTTTTTTTATTTTTTTTATTTTATCGCATAACTGTAATTACTATCAAGGTTAACGCAAAAGTTCGTGCATTTATTGTATTGTAAATTGAATAATGAATTATATTTTTATTTTATTTTTTTTTTCTGTAAAATTGACTGTAAAAATGAAATTAAATTAAATTCAATTAAAAAATATGCATGAACTTTTGATATTTGATTATTTGATGTTTTAATATACGCTTTTCAATATTTATCGAAGAATTTAATTATTGGTAACTGGTATATTATTTTGTTATTATATTCTCTTCATTTTTATTTTTAGCACTTGGACGTGGATCGGCCAATTTTCTTCCGAAACAATTCAAAGATATAGACGTTGAACAATACATTTTAGATGTAAGTGTATCAAAATGATTATATTATATTTTTATTTTGATAATTTATATCTCTGCATAAACAAAAACAAAACAAAATATTATATTGAAAAGAATCGTCATGTGACCATCATAACATTTGCCCCTTTGTCTCTTTTAATCTAAAAAAAAAAAGAACAAAAAATTATACAAGCTTTCTATATTTAATTTTTTCAAGAAAAAATCAACTGGTAATTGATTGGTGATGATCATCTTGTTGCCTGTTTCTGTGCCCCACCATACACATACTGTATAAATAAATGTGTGTGTGTATATTTTTGTTCGGTGTATCTTCAATTTATTATTTGAAATATTTATTTTTTTTTTTAATGTATATATTTATGTGATAATTAATAATCAAAGTTAATCACTTTTGTTTTACTTTGATAGAATTTAATTGGAAAAGCTGGTTTTTTCCTCGTCGTAACGTCTGCAGGAAAAATCGTTTATGTCAGCCAACAGGTAGAACGCCATCTTGGTCATGCTCAGGTAATATATATAAATATATGTATATTAACCATTTGACCTATTATGACGTATTGGGATCTTTGGCAGGGGCGTGGCGTAGCAATTCGACCTATCTAATCTAATTTTTAATTAAGCCACCAGATAGCGTATTCAAGTGCTAGAGATCCCAATACCATACGTCGTGATGTTTCTGTCCCAAAACTGAAAGCGACGTATACTATACGTCCTACCAACACGCTAAGGCGCTGCTTGAGGAGTAACATCACTCTAAAATTTTCAAAAAATCAATTTTTTTTAGCTTAAAGTGTACTTTAAATGTCTAAAAACAATATGCACTTGGTCCCGAAGCAAAAAAAGATTTTAATCATGTAAAAATCTTGGTTTTACCGAAGCGCTTCGAAGCGAAGCGAAGTGTGAGAATGGGACACTGTAGCGCTGGTTAAAACGTAGCGCAAGGAACCGCCACCGTGAAGTTAGCGTGTAGGTCAAATGGTTATTATCCTTAACGTTATTAAGTATATACAAATAATGTTATATACATATAAAATTTTATATATATATATACTTAATGTTATACTCTAGAAGATAATGATAATTTGCTTATGGTTATGGTTATCAGGGGGAAACCTAACGAAGTGAGTTTTATTATCGTAAAAAGGGTATTCAAATATTCATATATGTATATATAACTAGAAGAAACTATCAGAAAAAAAAGAAGTATCTTCTTGTTTGTGTCCCTTATTATACACCACATATACACATATACACCACCTTCATTTTTTCTACTATTTTTTTTTTTTTTCGTTCTTACGTATCTTTCCTATTTTTTCTGTCTGTCTGTCTGTCCTGTCTTTCTTCCGTTTTTTTTTCTTTCGGGGAGGTTTTTTCTTCTTTTATTTTTTTTTTTAAGACAGAATACACAATCAGGGTGTCATTGTTCTTCGAGTAAAAGAAAAAAATATTTTTCCCGCAGGGAAAATGAGAAACCGACGACGACGATGAGGAGGTGGATGAAATGTCATACATGAATATACCTTATATATATATTGTATATAAAAAAAAAAGAAACGTATATCTCCGTCATTTAACTTTTCGTCCATATTGATTTTTGATATCAATATTTTTAAAGAATTTTTTATTTATTTTTTTATTTTTCTTTTTGACAATTTATATTATCATTTATATAACCTATATTGTTATTTTAATATAAATATTAATTATTTTTGAAAAATATTAAAGAAAACAAAAGAGATACTGATCCAATTAACACTAGATATACCACCATTTTTAGTATATACCTATTTCTACCACACTAGTCAAAATGACTGATGTATAAAAAAAAATGCTCTTTGAGGTTTCCAGTCTTTACTCTTAAAAAATAACACAAAATGTTTAACAATAATCATTTTAATAGATAAATGGATTTATAGACATTTTTAAACAAAATTCTGTAAATAAAACAAAACGTTTAATTATTTACAGAAATCAATTGTTACATGAAGTAGAAGTTTTGAATTGAAATGGCCCGACCAATCAAAATGACTGGTCTGGTATATCTAGTGTTAAACTCAACAGGATTGCAATAACTTAATTTGATAAATAAAAGTCAAAAATAACTTTGATAATCTTCTTCTTCTTAATATATATAAATTACGTGTCACGTTGTTTGTCCACAATGGACTCCTAAACTACTGAACCGATTTTAATAAAATTTTGCACACTGTGTGCAGTTTCATCCAACTTAAAAGATAGGATAGTTTATGTCTTAATTTATAATCGCATTATTATTTTATTGCGAATTATTTGTTTATTAACAGAGTCATGATTATCTCTGTTAGTTCGATAAGATTCTAACAGATGGCGGTATAAGGTAATTCGTTGCTTAAAGACGTGTGTATCGGATTAATTGTGAGCCACAGCAACGCGTGGTGGGACACCCCTAGTAATATATATATTATATAATATATAATATTTAAATATATTTTTTATTTTCATAGAAATAAAAGAATCTAACCTCCTATTGACAAAATTCAAAATAGTTTATCATAATTATTTGTTCATGTGAAATGATTACATAACCAAATTTTATTAATGATTTTTATTTTGATGTTTGATTGTAGAAAGAATTGACGGGGCAATCTTTGTATCATTATATTTATTCAGAGGATCATGAAGAATTAAGGAAAAATTTAACACCAGATGAGATGCAACCAATCACCAATACAATAACATCCGATGGTGACAGTAATTCAAATTCATCGGAGATATCTTCAACGTCTAGTTCAACGTCGCAAAAAAATAACTCTGATAGGAACAACGTACCTGATAGAAACACATTTCGCAAACAAAGACGAATGTTTATGTTGCGTATGTCACAACGTACGACTACTAGACGTGAACATACACAATATGAGTGTTTGAACGTGACAGGTGTACTAAAACTTGCCGACGCTTGTGAAAATCCTCAAAATCGTAATGCACGGCATCGAGGTAGTTCAATAATTATAATTATAAATAATTATATCTTCTTCTATCTTATAAACAATTAATTTCATGTTTCAACCCTTTGAGTACTCAATATTTTTACCTGAAGTATTTTCTAAGAGAACTAAATAGTGTATTATTATTATTATTATTAATCAGATCTAATGTAATTTCCATCTGACAAAATTTGAAACAATAATCAAACCAACAAATCAAAGTTTTACTGGTAAATTTTATCAAACACATATATGCGTCTCTAGTACTTAAAGGGTTAATCATTAAAAGTAACAATGTATTTTCATTTCTTTTTTGGTTTTACGGATCAATGGTCTTTTGTTTTTATCGTTGAGAGATATTGGATGATTCTACTGGGCCACACTCTTGCACGTAACACAAGGCGAAACGAAGAAAACCGAAAGCTAACTTTCCGAACCGTGTATCGCAAATATTTACTCTAGCCCCCTTGAGTATTTAAATTTAGATTCACGGCATCATGTTGGCTCGCGAAAAGCGTAGGCATCGTCACGAAAAACATTTTTTTTTTTATTGTTTTTTTTCTTTCTCTTCTTTTACCAAGATACCTATCAAAGATTTTTTTATGTCATTGAAGAGTTATTTCCAAATTGTTCACACACGCGTTGTCGTTAATTTTAAATGAAATAATGTGTTTTTTAATACATTTTTTTTTTTTCAGGAACGTCTACAAGCAACGATATCATATTTGTTGGTGTTGCATGGTTTCTGGCAAAACGTCCTCTTACTGAACTATCTATAACAGATGCTAATAAAGAAGAATATGTAACACGACATTTGGTTGATGGTCGTATCATTTATTGCGATCACAGAATATCCATCGTGGCAGGTTACATGTCGGAAGAAGTTTCCGGTATGAGTGCTTTTAAATATATGCACAAGGACGATGTTAGGTGGACCATCATTGGATTACGCCAAAGTATGATATATAATATAATATAATATCATTTTGTTATTGTTTAGATTAATTTAATTAATATGATTTTTTGTTAACAGTGTATGATCGTGCTGAACCATGTGGATCGTCGTGCTACAGATTGCTTTCCAAAACTGGTCAATTCATTTACCTGAGAACTCATGGTTATTTGGAATACGATAAAAATACACAATCTTTTGAATCGTTTGTCTGTATCAATACTTTAGTTTCGTAAGTATTTTTTATTTAAAAATAATCGTCACATTAGATTGTTTAATATCCTATAAATCTCGTTCAATTGGATTTTTACAGTGAAGAAGAAGGTATTGAATTTGTTAGAGAAATGAAAGAACGATTTTCTGCAACTGTATCCGGTTTTGCAAAAGCTGCGATGATTCAAAACAATGAAGATTCGTATAATTTGGTACACTGAATTGTTATAAATTAATGAAAATACAAAATATATTTTATGATATATTTTCTAAATATTTTTATTGTTTTTTTTATATCAAACAGGCATTGGATTCTAAAAAATCTCACCCGAATCCAAACGTGGAAGATGCTTCAAAACTAGAAGACGTAATTACTCATCTGATCAGTGATTTACCTTCGCCATCTATTCCGGAAGATTGTCTTTCACCGAAACCAATGACGAACACACAGTTTGCTAAAGCAGCCGTATTTTCGCAAAGGTTACCACCGGTAGCTGCGCAAACCAGTAAAATTCGTGTAAAAAAGATCGATCATTGTGTTTCGACTCCGAGCAACAATAAATGCAGCAACAACGATGTTACTATAAAACAGGAAATACCGAGTAATGAAATAAAGGAAGAATGTCAATCGTTGATCAGCCCTAAAACAATTACCGATTCTATTGTTGAACAGGAATTCGAGTCAGATGGACCCCAACCCCAACCACAACCACAACAACAACAACAACCACCACAACAGCGACAAGTGGGAAGAAGAAAAAATTCAAATAATAGTATTAGTTCATTAAGATGTCCAGGAAAGCCTTCTAATTTGAAAGAAATAATGGGACACTTAATACCTGTAAACGCTGCCAAACATGAGGAACATTTGAATGATGTTAAACCTAAAATCTTACTTGGAATTGACCCTTTAGAAAATGACACGAGCGAATCCGAATCTGACGTGTCAAAAAGAAAATATAATTCAAAAAGAATATATAACGAAGATAACGTCGCCGGTGGTACATTGCGTACCAAAAAACGAAAAAATGATAAAAAATATGAAGTTGTTTCTGAAGTTGAACATGAACAACAGCAGCGACAACAACAAATAGAGCATCAAAGAAAAATACAAAAACAGCTACAATCAATACAACAACCACATCTAAATCAACAAACTAGTGTTTCATATATTCATTGTAGGACTTATATTGACAATAAACCGTTTTCAAATCTAGATGAATTGGAAAATATTGAACAGGCTTATACTCCTACTGAACCCGTTCAAATTATATCTATGAACTCACCGAATTCAAGTATTCAAGATTATAACATCGAATATCAAGAATTGATGCCATTAGAAATCTCCAATGAGGTTCATAGCGAACAATTGTTTGATCTACATGAATTCGAGGATGACCCTTTGTTGTGTTCAACCCCTAACCTAGAAGCTAATCCAGGTACCACAGTATTAAAAATTCTTTTTGTACTTTTCTTTTCCTTTTGTTTTTCTTTGCATAATATTTTTTTTCTATTACATTTTCATTTCAATTTGCTGCTACAAATTTATCGAACCCGTTAGAATTGGATTAGCCAATAAAATTATATAAAATGATGTTTATATATTTCTTTATTTTTTTTTTTACAGATTTTATGCTAAAAATATTTAATAATCTACGACCTGTAATGGGTTTTGAAAGTATGTAACATTCTTTAATGCTTATTTTTGTCTTTCTTGATTCACCATTTTTAAATGATGTATACTAACGAGATTATTTTTTGTTTGTTTCAATTTTATTCTAGAAAACTATGATGAGGTGAATTCGCGACAATTGACGTCGCTCGATGATGTGAGTATAAAAGAAAGAATTGTTTTATTTGATTGTTTTTATGTATAATATGTGATTCGTAAAATAATAATCGAATGGAAATTAGCTTGATTTTTCACAGCAACAAATAGTCAGTGACGGGTTAACGAAGACACATCGTCAACTCACCAATGATATTCAATTTCAAGAATCCGAATTTAATGCATTAAAACGTGACCTTGAGAATCCAGCTTTAGAAGCTCAAAGAAAAAATTTGACTCAGCTACAGGTAACCGTAACCGATCTGGTTTATTATCAATTATCTGTACATATATACATATGTTGACTTATTTCTATGTAGGTAATGTCTTACATCGATTACAGGCTGAACATAAAATACAAAAGCAAATGTTAAAGACATTACAACAAGATCATCTGAATATACAAGTCAATACGAAGCAAAACATCGATGTTTAATTATCTGGTTTACGTATCATAAAAATATAATTCACGGAAACGATTTATGTTCACGAGGAGGAGCACCATTTACCACCAAGAGTCACATAAATTCGTTCGAAGAAAAAATAAAAATGAAGAAGAAGGATGTCTGGTACTTCCCCTAACTTCAAATTACCGAATTTAACTATGAGTCTGAAAAAATGTTACTAGATCCATCCTCTAGTAAAAAAAAGGAAGAAGAAGAAGATAAAAAAAAAACAACAACGATCGGCATACGTGCAATATGCATCATCGAATTGCACCAATCGAAGTTACTTATTTATTCTTTTGTCTTCTTGAAGAAAAAAAATGGCGTCGGAGAAGAAGGAGGAGCAGAAGGAAGGAAAAAAAAGGAAACCAAGTTTTTGTCGTTAAATAAAATTCAAGTTATTGGTACTATGTTGGTGCTTAAAAAATAAAAAATAAAAATAAAAAAAATAAAAGAAGAAAATATGAATTGAAGAAAAGAAGATGTTATTTCAGTCGAGTTTCATGAGTGCTTGGCGATTGTAAAAATCGTTAAGAATTATAATAGGAATAAACGATCGTTCGTTAGACAAATTGGACAAAGATATAAAAGTGAATCGAACGATCGAGTGTTCTGCAGTGTTGGAACTTTATAAATTTTACGATAAAAACACTTTGTAGATAGTTTATATCCATGCTGTTTTGAAACAGCTGGAGAGCAGCATTAAGGTTATAAATAATAGAAACAAAATGTAAGATATGAAATTACGTACCTTTTTTTTTGTTGAGACGACTAGACTTTTATTTTGTCTTTTTTTTTTGTTTAAATTCTAAACAAAAATAATATCAATTGAAGATAAAGAATAAGATTTTAATTTCGTTCGTATTTTGTTACCCAATTAGAAAATCAATTTGTAATTTTAATCAATTATTAGTGTCAAACTAAATGTATAGATGTTGGATTTCTAGAAGAAGAAGAAGAAAAAAAAGGTGTACTATTTGTAATATTAATTGGAACTTTTTTGTCGATTTAATCTATCGAATTTTAATATTTGGTATTATTATCAAATGTGTACTATATTAGTACTGCTTTCCATGTGATTATACATGTACATATATACATATATAGCATAAGAACAAAAAAGAACTAATCAACAAAGGAAAAAAAAAGAAAAGAAAATGAAAAAGGAAAAGGATCGGGTCGCAACTATTAATATCAATTTACACATTTTTGTTATATGTATATATATATATATAAAATCTATAATTTTTGCTAATATCTATTATTATGTGTATTTTACAAAATGGACTGTCTTTTAAAAAAAGAAAGAAAAAATTATTAAAACAGAAAAATTACAAGAAATCCGAGTCGTTGTCAAAGTCATATAATTAATTCTCATCGTTTTAAATGACAGAATATTTGACGTCGCATGTTTAATTAAAATATTATAGAAATTGTTTTATTTTGTTTTTCAAATGTATTAATCAGTTAAGTATGGCGATCTGTGCGCAGAGCGCTCTCTGATGTGTGTCGCGATAATCAAGCGATGACGGATATAGTCGTTAAACACAGAGTAAGTGGCGCTGTTAAAATATTGGATAGTCAAAAAGACGACTTTATTTTAGAAAATGAACAATTTTGTTACTAATGTAAACACAGTTTCTTAATATGAACATATATTTATATATAATAAACGGAAAAAGTAGAGAAATTACAATTTAAACATCAAATTGTAACAAACTTTTACGCATAACGGATGTAGACGTCATAACACGAAATTTTGCCACATCTCCATGACGGAATAGTCGTCAAACACGCTTAACTGGTTAAAAAATAAACACACAATTGTTATACTTTAAAACTGCCATTGAAACGAATGAGATTATATTATGTCACGATTCGGAATTTGTTTTATATACATAATATACATTTTTCTCGATGTCTTCTTTAAATGGCCAACTTAAAAATGGGGAACATTAAAAAAAAAAATTAGAAGTTTTAGCAGAATTTTTCAACTATAATCAAATGAGATCGTTCGATCCGTCCTTTTTTCTCTCTCTCTGTATAATAAAACATAGAACGTTAGAAATTTGTGAGAAAAATTTTGTATAAATAAAAAACATTTTTCTCCTAGTAACATTTTTAAAATCGTTACCAATTGCGAATAATAATTTTGACAATTAGTAAAGGCTTTTTCCTTTTTCTTTTTTTTTTTTTAAATTTACTCATTCACGAGAATAAAATGATTAACTTTACTTTGAAAATTTAAAAAGAAGAAAAAACAAATTTTCAATGCCAAAGTATTTGACTGAAACTTAACTTCATGTTTAGTAAAGTTAATCAATTTGCTCAAATGAACGACGTAGTGTTATGTAGTTCTAACTACAATAAAATTTAGTACACCTTTTTACAAATTATTATTATTATTATTACATTCAATTGTTCGTTATTTCAAAGAATTATATTTTTTTGATTATTTATAACGAAGTACATTAAAACAAAATAATGGAAAGAAAAACATGAACGATTGTAGTTTAAAAATGTGCAATTTTATAATAATTAGACCCAAGTTTCAATTGTTCTTATTAATTTTAATTTTGGTTTTTTGGTGAAGTGAGTTATAAGGCTGGTATCCTTTTCACTTTCTAGCCCCGTCCTCCAAAAAAAAAAGAAAACAAAAAATGTGCTCTCCCCAGTGTCCATGTTTCCTGATCAATCCAATCCACCGATGTAAAAAATTTAATGATAATAATTAATTCTCGTGATCTTATAGTACAAAATGTCCCCAAACTGTCTGTGTTCAATGTAAATCACACATACCCTTTGCGCAGCTCTCTGAGAAATCAAAGTTCTTCTTTCCCCTGTTTAATAACCCATAACCAATCCCCCATTTTTCAAAAGCCTACTCTACTTTTCACGTTTACTCATTGTTGTAAATTTAACGATAAAGATTATGATGGAAAAAATTAGACAAATACTTGATGTACTTTGTGATTTTAATAATACGCTGTAAATATTTTAGGCTTTTATATTATTGATGATCGTCGTACGTCGCCTTCTCTTGCTTTTCATACATGTTTTGAATTATTGCTGCTGATATTTCAATGATATCATTGAAGATCAAGAAAAAGAAGGAAATAAGTAAATAAAAATAAGTATTAAATGCTCAAACTGAGTGATGACACAACTTGTGAAGATCTTAAGTGTTATTATGAGATTTTATGAAAAACAACAAAAAAAAGTTACCTTGACAAGTAAATGAAAATTTTGTGAAGAATTATTATTGATTCATAGAGAAACTCTACCAAAGTGTTAATAAAAAGATTTTTTTTTTTTCATTTGTGTTTTTTTTTTGGGAGGAGGAATTTTCTTTATCTTTTCCTTTTTTTTTGTTTTGTTGTTATTGTTGTTTTGTTGTTGTTCTCTTGTTTCTTTTCATTTTACAAAAGACAATCAAATTCCTAGCGCAGTGATTTGAATTTTTTTTCAATATGGCCTCTCTGTTATACGTTTTTTTGTCGTTATATTTATGTTATTATTATTCGTAAAAAAAAAGAAACGATATAAAATAATTTAGATGTTTTTTTTTTTTTTCAGAATGATAATAAGAGAGGAAGTTGAAGGAAAATGAGAATTTTAGCAAAAAAAAAAAAAAAGAAACTAGTCGATGTAACTTAGAAATTTTGTGGAGGAAAAAAAGTAAAAAATCATTTACGTGTTGTTGTAATCCGAGCATTTTCATAAATTTTATAATTGTGAGAATAGAAAAAAAAAATAAAATAAAATATACAATGAAAATTGAATGTGCTCGAGTATGTGCGACGAGAAAAATCTTGCGAAGATGAAAAAAGAAAAATTACAATTAAAATATTAATAATATTAATAAAATGAAAAGTAAAAAAAAAAAATAGTAAAAAATTGACAAAAAGTGATAAGTGAAAAAAATTAGTTATATTACCGATGTAATACAAGGAATGGGGGAGTTTACAGAACTTTTATTGATATGTAAGACTATATATCAATACTTTGAAGGTATAAGAAAATACTATGTTAACATTTTCATAAATTTTACAGTAAAATAGTTGTGTAATGTCAAACATTTTTTTAATTGTTTATTGAATATTTGTATATTCATCATATTCATATAGAAATATTTTGATTGTTACATTCTTTCTTTACAAAATTTTATTCAATATTATTTTATCCAATATAAATTAAAAAATATTTGCAAAAAGAGGTTAAATACAGATCTGGTAAAAAATGAACATAGTTTTTTTTAACCCTTTGAGGTACAGATATATATACAGGATATTTGTTACCTAATAAGTGGATAAGTATTGTGGTAATAAATTCAGGATAAAAAAATAAAGAAAATATGAGATCCAATATCTCATATGTTGAAATAAAATATTTCACTTTACTTTTTGTATTTTCAATTTAAATATTACAATACTTAATTGCTTATTTTATAAAAAAAAAAAAACCCCAATTACAATTTAGTTTAACTTTATAATTATTGTACATAACTATGTTATTATTATATTTTATACTTCGCTAATATTGTGAACCTTAATGGTTTATCAATATTTTTTTTTTCTTCTTTTTTATCTTTAAAATGAAAAAGAAAAAGAAAAAAAAACAAAAAACAAAATAGGAGAAGGCAATATCGATCTCATATCCTTGTGGTAACCATTGTTCTTCGTTTTGTTTCTTTTTTTTTTCTTTTTTTTTTTTAATTTTACATCTACCATCTACAATGGTAAAAAAAATATTCGAATAAGTTTACTCGTATGATTAATAATAATAGTAATAATAATAATAATAATAATAATAATAATAATAATAGGGGAAAGAAAATTTAATTAATAAGATAAGTTTTTGGAACAAAAAAAAATTTGTTCTGAAATTTCTAGCAAGACTAATTGTAAATAATTATTATTGTTGGACTACTAGTGTGGGACTACTATTGTGATGTGTATAAATGTATATCTAAATATGTGTGTTAGCAAAAAGAAAAAAAAGAAAAGAAAAAAATGGCAGGATTTACAAAAGACTACTTCGATATTTTGACGTTTCCTTATTTATATCAATATATATATTATATAAAAAAGGAACATTTTTCAAAAATATCATCCTAATTGCAACGAAACACAACTTTTTGAACTTATATATACAGTATACACAATTTGTTACTTTACAATTTTGTCAAAATAAGAACAATTAGATTTGAAATAGAAATAATTCAAAGAAAAAAAAAAGACAACATGGAAATAAAATTGCGTATTTTCTTCTTTTTCTTTTTCCATTTTTTTTTTTTTTATTATTCTTTTATTTTGTTCTTACATTTGACTAGCGTTCAAATAATTTTTTATATGTATATTACTAGGTAAAAGGGACTAGCTTTAAAGAAGAATCTTAAGAATGATAAAATAAAAATCAATTATAATAATAATAAGAAGAAGAATATTAATAATATGAATAATGATGATAATAATAATAATAATAATAAAAAACAAAAATTGATGATAGTTCGTTTTAGGTTGCATCGAATGAATATTTTAATTAACCAACTGTAAAAAGGTTAATATGGAATTCTTTTCTTCATGTTAAATGAAGAAAAAGAAAGAGAGTGAGAGAGAGTGAGAAATGAACTTTTAATGTTAACAATATCTACAAGAAAAAAAAACAAAATATTATAATAACAAATAGGAAATACTTATATGTATAGTTATTGTGTCAAGACTGAATTATTAAGAATTAATAGAAAGTGAAAAAGTGTTTTTGTAAATAATACTAATTGGAAACAAACAAACAAAAAATTTCCATCATTATATGATTGGGAAAGAAAAGGCATGAACAAAAAACATAAAAAAAAATCATAGCTTAACCCATTAACTGCCAAATTAGTTTTGGTTAGAGAAATATTTATATTTTTGAAAAAGTCTTAAATGGGGATTGTGGCTGGTTGCACGAAAAAAAACCAATAAGAGACTATTACTTATTTCTTTTATTATTTCCTATACATACAAAATAGCTATTATTATGCCATTTTTCCATACAGTTCACATAAAACCGAGTGGTGTACGTAAAATTCCGAAATTCCCAAATGGGGATCGTGGCAGCTAATGGGTTAAGAAAATGTGAACGATCATGATTCATAATCCAATGATCGTATTTTACCAATAATTGTCTTTTCAAATAATTCATATCTCTTATTATAATCCTCTGATCTTAAACTAATTTCAAATATTATAACAAAATTCATTATAATGAAATAATTAATAATATTATTAACAATTTTTCAAAATTCAATTTATCCAAATATGAGAGATAGGAATAAAATTCAAATTTCGTGCATTTCAATTAGAAATCCCACAAGTGGCGGGAAGGAGGTTAGGTAAGGTTACGTAGTTGTTAACTTATGAAATTCATGACGAATTTTAAGTATAGTAAAATAACAGAACTCTCTTTAGTATTAAAAGAAAAACAAAAGTAGACGAGAAAATTGTTGAAACAAAAACTTGTCGATTTATTATTATTATTATTATTATTATTATTATTATTATTATTATTATTATTATTATCATCTTCATCGTCATCATCATCATCATCATCATCATCATTTTAAAATAATATCGGCGTGTTACAATATTTAACGATAATTGTAAATACATTAGAGGCCAATGTGCGTTCCTTTTATATAAACACATACATACACACACACATATATATATATATATATATATATATATGTATATATATTTGTTTTTCTTTCTATTCTTCTCGATCAAATGCTCGCCATAATAATCGCATCTTTAATAAGGATCAAATAGGAATTATTTAGAGGAATTATAATAAAAAAACAAATTAATAATAAAACCACCCTTTTATCGAGCCCTTAGTGAGTGAACCACCCCTTAACGAGAATTACCAAAGAAAATTCTTGTTTTTTTCTTTTCTTTTTGAATGACTTGTTTTACAATTAATCAAAATGGAGAATCATCGAGTTTAAGGGTGGGGGGTTTGGAAAAGGGTTAAAAACGGAGATTAGAGAAAGTTATTAGCATAATCGCAAAAAAGAAACATAGAAAAATATACTACTAAGTTTCTAAAAAGATTTCGACTTTTTTTACGTGCCCTATCGTTCTACGTATTTTATTTTTATTCTTTTGTTTTTTTTTTTGTTCTTTTCTTATTTTCTTTTTTTCTTTCTTTCGTTGCTAATTCGTAAATGTTTTACATAATAATTTTTTTTGTTTGTTTATTGGAACAAGCACGAAGTTCCTTGCAAATCCTTAACCCCCCGTAATAATTAATTTTACTTTGCGATATTATACATAAGAAGTAGAAGAAGAAGAAGAAGATGAATATTTTTTTCGCGTATCCTTATAGTTTAAGATAAATAAAAAATAAAAAAATATAAAAAAATAATTTTAGTAAAACATAACGCGAGATTAAGGATTCGTTCGGTCGTTTGAACGATCAATGACGATTTCGTTTTTTTTTTGTTTTTCTTTTTCCTTTTCTTACAGTGAAATTATTGAACAATAATCCGTTCTTATCGAGTTTTGCACAATATTAATTTAACAATTTAATATTAAACAATATTAAATTTTGAACGTATCTTAAACAAACTGACGAATTATATTATTTATAATAATAAAAAAATGAAATCCAATTATTAATAGAAAATAATTGAACAAATTACGCTTAGGGGTTTTTGTTTCGTCGTAATGTTTTGTTTTTACAATCCCCTGTAATTAACTCGATACGGATTATGCATACTGTAAATATATTTGTATATGTTACCGTTAAAAGTTTATATAATATTGTTGTTTGCTTTTTTTTTATTTTTCATACATTAATTAATTAGATTAATTTTTTTTTTTTTTAATATTTTAAGGAAAAATTTTTATTTGTTTACTAGGAAACAACTAACTGTTGTAAAATTTTCAACGGTAACATATATATCATCGAGTTAAACTACTAAATTTTGTCACCAAAAATAATTTCATTATTTTTTTTTGGCGGGATTTTTATCATTTTTAAAAATGATTATAAAACAAGGTAAGATTTATTTCAATGAGGGTGACGTTTGAAAGTTGAAAGAATCTTGCAGTCTCGTGTAGGTTTTTTTTTTTGAAACTTTTCAAGGACATTGTTTTCAGTATTTTAATTTAAATTATAAATCACTTTTTTTTTCTTTTTCTTTTTGCAAGGAATTAATTGCAAATATAAAATCGATAAACGATTTATCTCATTCCCCGTGATATTTTAAAACAAAAAAAACCTGTCGGATGATTTTGAAACTTATCATAAATTTCACTTTCTATTTTTTTTCGAACTGTATTATAAAAAAAAAAAATATATTGACTAAAAGATTAATGATTCTCGCAAATCATAATAATAATTTAATATGCACGCGCTTGAACTTAGAACAACAAAAAATAGAAATAAAATAAGATCATGTAAAATATGCAATTCTAAATAGATTCGAATTTTGAATCTCTTTTTTTCATCACTGTTACCAAACACCTTTCTTTTTCTTTTTTTTTTTCAAAAAATTAATTGAGAATAAATTTCATTTCAAATAAACTGTCGATCACCTTGACAATTATTAAAAATCGAGAGATAAAATTTATCATAACCTCGAAATAAGTGCAACGTTGTATCGAGCATATAATTCCCCCCTCCCCTATGATAATCCAAAAATAAATTAATATTTTAGGTTATAAAATTTAGTGGTATATACCCGATGTATATATAAAATATATATATATATATTAGGGTGGGTCAAAAAAATGACTTTTCTTTTTTCAAGTGCCACGGAAAAATGGGTTGCTAGACCCCTAAAACAATTCTCAACAAATATGAGCTCTTAATTTTAATAGGTAGATCCTCCGCATCGCAGTTTTTTATTTTTTTTTGCAGTCTAATAGATTAAAATTCATACCTCATTATTTATTGATTGTACAGAAAAATGTTAAAGACGAATTTTGTAGGAAATTTAATGCTCTACAAAAAAGGTATCTTATATTTTTTCCGTAAACTTCACCATTTGAATGATATTGAAGATTTAAATTTGATGATTTTTAGACAAATCTCATTTTTGCTTATGAATTTTATAACTCGACAATAAATGACTATTAAAAAGTGCACAATACAAATTTTTGTAGGAAATTAACTGCTCTATAAAAATTATATTTTGGCGATTAAATTAAGCGTTCAAAAGATATTCAGAGATAAAAATTAGTACACATGAAAGTTTGGTGATGAATATCTTTTGAACGCTTAATTCAATCACCAAAACATAAGACACCATTTTTATAGAGCAGTTAATTTCCTACGAAAATTTGTATTGTGCACTTTTGAATAGTCATTTATTGTCGAGTTATAAATTTCATAAACAAAAATGAAATTTGTCTAAAAATCATCAAATTTAAATCTTCAATATCATTCAAATGGTGAGGTTTACGGAAAAAGTATAAGATACCTTTTTTGTAGAGCATTAAATTTCCTACAAAATTCGTCTAGAACATTTTTCTGTACAATCAATAAATAATGAGGTATGAATTTTAATCTATTAGACTGAAAAAAAAAAAAAAATAAAAAACTGCGATGCGGAGGATCTTCCTATTAAAATTAAGAGCTCATATTTGGTGAGAATTGTTTTACGGTGTCTAGCAACCCATTTTTCCGTGGCACTTGAAAAAAAAAAAGTCATTTTTTTGACCCACTCTAAGATATATATATATTTATATATATTTTTTTATATAATTGAATATTGTGTGAGAATGGCGCCTGTTATTAATTTATTTCTTTGTTGTTGTTGTTCTTTCCTCTTCATCTTCGCACGTATATATATAATTAGTATATTTAGAGCTAAAGGGAAAATTATTTACAAGGGAAAATAGGGAGCAGCGTGTCAAGATCTTTTTTTTCTTCTTTTTCCATAGAAGATGCGCCATAGGAGGCCCAGGCCAAAGAATAAATTCATTTTACTCAATGTAAATGTCTTCTATAGGAAAAGCAGTCTCGATGAATTTCGTATAGAAACGATGAAAGGCCCGTCTGTAAGTAAAAAAAAAAATAAAAAAAAACCAAAAAATTGTTTATAAACGTGTAAAACTTTATTAGTCTAACCCAGTGTTTCCCAAAGTGAGGTTAAAATTGAAATATTTCAAAATGGGGGGTGAATTAAATGATATTTACACATTATTAATAATATTAATATTAACAATGGATTAAATTATTAACAACTTACATATTAACAAATGATATTAACAAATTACCGAATATTAGTCAACTAATTGTTAACGTTGAGAAACACAGTGTTTTTAGACTGTATATAATATAAATAATAATTAATTATAAATAAATGTTGTATTTGTTAACTCACCCAACAGCTTCAGCAACTGGTCGTGTAGATTCTTGACCAATGAACACGTGACAAGCAAACCTTTGCAACGTTGGATGTTTCGTGATGAAACCAAGGTAACGATGATCGCGTGGATGAAATGCACAGAAGGATACATTTTTTAAAGAATAAAAGTAATCGTGACAAGGACCCTGATTTTTCTGTAAAAAATGTTATCATTGATTTTTTCAAATGTTTACACTCGTATAAATATTTATGTATGATTGTTTTTATACCCGCGGTTTACTTCTGTCCACCATACGTAATCCTTGATCGGACACTTCGAGTATGCAACTTTGTGAAATTGGTGATTGATCTGATGAATTACCAACGATCCTACGAACAGCTTGGCAAACGACACCTGTACCCTTGTGCGCCAAGGTTTCTACTGAACCCAAATATCCTAAAAGATATCTTTCCCTTTTGACTTTAGGTGCGGAAGGATCGAAATCACTGTAATCAATGTCAACTGCGTATGCTGATGGAAATATACCTTGTCTTCCTGTTCGTAAGTTGACACCTTTTGAAATGTACGAATGAAAGTGTTTTTTTTAAACATATAATCACAAAGTTCATCATGTGTGTCATAGAAAAATTAATCTCACCTTCGCACCACAAATCGTCAGCTTCCTTTTGTACGTAAACCGGATCACCGATTTCTAAATCGATTTCGTCGTGATGTCTAGGCACGAATTTGTGCAAACCACGATGGGTTGCTTCCAACAACTCCAATTGAGTGAATGGTACACCTCCGCTTCCTTCAAATGAATTTGTTTTAAATCCTTTTATGAAAGAACATTTTGATCCTCGTTGAAATAAAAGGGAAACTTGTTACCTGGAGTGCTACCAGGTGAAACGGAATCTGTGTTTTGTAAAGTATTGCACGGTATAGGTGATACACTTTTGGGTCCGTTATCTGGCGAATGGGCAGTCGAATGTCCACTATCCGTAGCCATCCTTTCGCTGTCCGGTGAACTGTCCTCGTGTCTTAAACGAGGATGACATTTTCGTAAAACGAGATGAGGCCTTCCGGAATTAGAACTTGTTGACCCAACGTTAGAACCTGTTGTTGCAGCATTCAATTCGTCAGCTAACGAAGATGAACTTTGCATTGACACTTGGCCAACACCACCACCACCACCACCACCACTGGGTATACCTAACAAAATGAAATTATCTTTTAATCCTACTTAAATAATTATTTAAAATTTGATTCGTTAATAATTACCGTACATGTCTAAATTCTCATTCCAAGTTGTTATATAAAATTAAAAGGAAATAATAATATCACGACACGTTTATTTTATTTGTTAGTAAACGAGACTGGTGGTTTAACGTTGGAGCTAAAGTACGTACACATTCGTAGAGATTTTCTTTCACTGCGGTTAACAGTTCTGTGGTCAGGGAGTCAGTAAATTTATATATCGATCGTGAAACCCCTGACGAAGGTTAAGAAAGATAAATAATAATAATAATAATAATAATAATAATAATAATAATAATAATAATAATAATAAAAGATCAGTTTGTTCGAATTACTTTCTTATTATGTTGCTGCTATTCCACCAAGCAGATTATAACGTTATTACTAATTAATCATTGATAATATGTTTTATACTAACTAATAGACAGCCCATAGCTCACATTTTTTAGCTTTAGGGATTTCCGGTAATCTTCGACGTCTACGTTCTCCGCTACCACTACCTGGCCGATTCGTTGGAAGGTGTTCCGGTGTTGGCCAGGAACTCAAACTCGAACAGGAATCACCAACGTCGCTGACTACGCTGTCTCTACCACCATTTCCGGATGACGTTGTTCCACCTCCACCTGGACCAGGGCCGCCTGCTGATCGACCCCTGCTGCTCAGTCCACCGAACAAGCTAATGTCACCCAAGGGTAGTCGTATAGTCAGCTAAGCTACCATTCACCATGCGAATTGTGGCTGCACATTTTTTTTCTATTTTTTTTTACAACAACAGCCAATCTTCTTTTATTTATATTATATTATTTATTGGACAAAATGTCGATGACAATTATTATTGAGAATTTAATGATAAGTTTTTAATTTTATTTTGAATTATTCTTAACCTGTTAACTTGGCGGGATTTTTAAATATCAGAAACGTATTTTACGTATTTTATATATAAATAAATGAAAAAATATATATTTTATAGTATTTTAATTTATTTTAAGCATAAATAAAATAATAAATAATAAATAAATATATAAATAATAGTGTTATATATAAATATTATATTTATTAATATATTATTAATATATATTATAATTAATATTATATTATTAGTTATATAAATAATATATAAATAATAAAAAGAACTGTGCAATTAAAAAGGGAATTTCTCAGTTAACAGGTTAAATAAGGTTTCAAATTTTTAATAACTTTCCATTTAGAATATCAAATCTTGAAAATAAAATTCGTGCAATATTTTACGAAATCAAATTTTATTTCGTGCTGTGCATTTTTCTATTTAATTATTATTATTATATTATTATAAAACATGTTCATGTTTGCATTCTCATTCAATATAAATAAATTCATAAATCATCAAATAACGTATCAAATCTTAGACCATCTTGATAAAAATATTGAAGATGTGATACGTATGATTGTTAAACGTTTAAAATATAAAAAAACAAACATTGTTATATTCAAATATGGAAAATGTTTCCAACACTTACGATGTTACCAACCTAAAGTCGCTGTCAGCCACAATTGAGCAATGATTATCGAGATCCTCGCTCTCGTCAGCAGAAGTATGACCACTTTGATTATCATGACGGTGTATAACAACAACATCTTCATCTTCAGAATCCCCAGCAACACCTTCGCAAGGTCTTCTTGCATCGTCAACCTCCTCACCGTCACTTCCTTGGGATGACGTAGGCGAGTCATCGAGTATAACATCGTGCACTAGCCTGTATTATGTCACGTGAAACATTTTTTGAATTACTTTGTTTCATACTTTAACATCAGTTGATTAAAATGACAGATTGTCACTTTTTTTGGGGATGGGGGTGTTAAATTTCTTACCAGTTATCATTGGTGCTATTTGGGGTGAGTTAAAAATTGCATAAATGGGGTATATTTTTTATTATGCATTATAATTATTTGAAGATGGTTTATTTGATTCAGTTGTAAGTTAAAATAAATTTATTTTATTATTTTTGGTATAAAATTAATAAAATAAATAATATAACAAATTTAAATTTAAATTATATAAAATTATATTTAATTATAAAATTATTACTATATACATTGAAATTTATTTAAATTATATAATAAATAATAATATAAATATAATAACAATAATAATAATATCACGTATCACATATTAATAATATTAATATTAAATTATATTTTTTAAATTACATTTTTATAAAAATATTTTATAAACTAATTTTCAAATTTTTATTTTTGTTTTGTTTTTTATTGTTTTAATAGTAAACATTGATTAAATAATATTATTAAAGATAAAGTATTCGTTTAATAGTAAGAAACTAGAGCATAATGTTGCAATGACGTATACATTTATATATATACATATATACAGTGTCTCATATTGCATGAAGTATAAGGAAGAGTGCATATAAAAGGTTCGAGGTGTGCAAGGCTGACTTACTTTGGTATATTAATACTAATCAATCAACATTTGACATCCTTTAAAAAAATAATATCAAAGTAACCAAATTAAATGTATTATCGAAAGAAATTGATAAAGTATTATGGGGATAACATTTCTTCTTACCCCTTCAGATCGATATTGGGTAACGAAGAAAGATTCAAAATGTTCTACAGCTTCTCGTATAAAAAATTCATAATACTCAGAGATAGATAAAATAAAATCAATCAAATTATTATGACCTTTTTCTTCTCATATTATAATAAATAAATAATACAATATAATAAAATGATTTAGTTAATATCAAAAACGATGACGATGAATAATTCAATTGAGGTATCAAATGTATTCTAACATATAAATTGATTTTAAAAAAGATAAAATTAATCTGCAAATTATTATAGCATTTTTTCACGTATTATAATAAATAAATAATTTAATATAATATATAATAATTTAGTTAATACCAAAAATACAACTATGAACAACGATATATATTCCAATATATAAAAAATAAAAGAAACAACCAATTTGCAAATTATAATTGCCTATTTCTTCATATTACAATAAATAAATAATATAATAATTTATATAATAATTTATTCAATATACCAAAAGAATATATAATAATGAATAATTTGAAGTAAACTTGTTTTAATATACCAAATATATTATAATAATGAATACTCACGTGTAATTAGAAAGGGGTGCTTTCAGATGTTGGGGTAGTCTCTCAAAATAATGTCGAAACTCTTCGAACTCGGAGTCGGCCATTATACTTCCTCGTTGATAATGATGATTAAGAAGAAGAAGAAAAATTTGATGAACTGAAGAAGAAGGAGGATGATGATGATGAAGAGGACGACGACGATGACACACTCGAAACGAGGTGGTGGTTTTTCTCAGGTAAGCAATGACGAGGTGCTTTTATATTGTCAGATGTCGCTAAGAAATTACTCTATATTGTTGATGGTGAGTATTAGTCGCCACCGTCGTCTCAATTGTCCGCGTTTTCGTTGTCCTCGTCCTCGTCCTCCTCGTCGTCGTCGTCGTCGTCGTCGTTGTCCTCGTCGTCGTCCTCAACGTTTTCCACCTTTTCCTCGTTTTTCCTAACCCAAGTCTTGAGCAATGCAAGTGACAGCAACAGTGTGGCACTGCAATCGTTCTATCTCTCTCTCTCTCTCTCTCTCTTTCTTTCTTTCTATTTCTATTTCTATCTCTTTCTATCTGAACCTCCACCTACAATCAACCCCCTTTCTCAACTATGCTAGCGACCCCAACCGAAAAGACACACACCCCCTATTGATTCCTGCGTGCCAACAACATGCGCACCAGTTGTTTCGATTTCTCTCCTCCCACCCCTTTTTCCTTTCTCCCACCTACAACCAACAACCCATCTTTCACCCTCTTGCCTCTTCTTCTTCTCCTTCACCTCATCCAACTCATCCTATTTTCATTGATATTCGATGTATTCCCGGTGTTACTCGAATATGTATACGAATATTCGTACTTTCTAACATGTCTAATATATTTTTATACTAAATGAGATAAATTTACTACCCCTCACCCACCTTTCGTGTACTTAAATTTTATTTTTAGTTAGATCAAATAATAAATTAGTATGTTTAAAGATTTGTTGTTTTTTGTTTAGATTTTAAAATGATACTTTTATTGTTTTATGATTAATGGTAGGTTTAGGGGTTGAATTGATTTAACTCAATTATAATTATAATTATTTTTTTATATACTTAATATATATATACTTATATACTTAAATGTTAATTTCTTTCAACTATTCAATTTTTCATTGAAACGATGTTTGTAAATTTTTAGTAAAAATCGCGAACAAATTGAAATATTAAATATTAAATGTATTAAGTATCAATTTTGTTAGAAACACAAATTTAGTATTTGTTAAGGTGAGAAGTAAAAGGTCGTGTGTATTTTTAAAAATTAATATTTCACACTTTGTAATATAAAATAATTTTATTTTAACTTAAAAATTAATTTTGAAAAAATTGTATTAACAAAATGAACTCACTAAACTTTTGGTTCACCGTAATATTTGGAAAATAATTTTGTACAAATTATACTTCGAAATTATATATATACACTTAAATTTTATTTAGTAACCTAACCTTAAACCAGTAACCCAAACCCTAAAAAACAAATAATATTCTTTTTGCAATTTTTGTTAAAGAAAATATTATGAAAATTGATTTTTAAATATTAGTTGCTTCAATTGCTAGAATTTTATTGCAATTCGATGCAACAGGCGATGTAACAGATATATACATATATATAAATAGAAAAAATTACATCCTAAAAGGGTTGGTTTTTAATTCCTTTTAGAACTTTGAAGGACTTGTATTAATGTAAGAATCATTTTTGTTAAATTTTAATACACTTCAAGACAAAAAAAAAACATGCAATAATTCTTTCTTCGTTTGTTATTCTCAATTATTATTGTTTACTTATTTTGTTAATATTTTACTTCATAACTCAAACAACACAATTTTAAGAATTTTTAAGTAACACAGTTCGAGAAAACAAATTATTGTAAGTTGCGACACAACTGTAAAACAGTTTCCAATAAAACTTCTTCTTCATTTAATGAGAAAAGATTTTTATTACCAAAGTGTCTATGTTAAACATTCAATATTAATTATTATACTGTTTTAAATAAAATGGTTTTCTTGTTTTTTAAATATTAAATTAAACAAGAGTTATGATTAATTTAATAAATCATTTAAATAATACAAATTTATTCATTTAAAAATATATTTTCTAAATATTAGATAAAACTATAAGTGAACAACTTCATAATTATCTAAACAAATTATGAAAACAATCTTTAAAAACAACCAAACGATCGCAAAAATGTTAATGAGTTGTTTTAAAAAAAGATATAAAACATTTGTAAACATTTTCATAGTTCGTAATTTAAAATTGTGATAAAGTTACACAAACAACTTTTGAAATTTACATACTGTAAAACGGTGTGTATAATTTATTTAATTTATTTATTTAAAAAAAAAAAAGTGATTTACATTATAAAATTGTGACATGAACTAAATCATATAATAATCAAATGTTTTGTATCCTATAATTAGTTTAAATGTCATAATTATTCAACATATGTAAATAATAACTGAACGAGGAACAGTGAACATAATATGACGAAATAAAAAGACCGGTTTTTCATTGTAAATTAAAAATCCACATTCAATGCTATTGCTTGTCCTCATTTGAATTTACCGCAATTAAATAATTATACAGGGTGTTCTACAAATCTTTACGAGTTGTAAAAAAAAATCAAAAAAACAATATTAGTTTATAATTATAAAATTAAAAAGAAAAACAAACAAAACAATTCAAAAAATTAGGGTACACTACGAAATTAATTTTACTTCGAATTACTAAAAAATATATATATTTTTAGGGCGCCATTATTTTTTATCATTGTATATCTAAATTATTTTATTTATTATTCAAGCTAGTAAACAACATTAAATTTGTAAAAATATAACTTTGTTAAAGATTAATTAATTATATAATATACTATAATAAATAATTACAGTATTATTCCAATTACAATTTTATATAGAATGAAAATTCTTAAATAATTTGTTAAAAATATTACAACTATTATTTTTATATTGGGATCTCTGGGAGGGACGTGGCATAGCAATTCGACCTATCTACTTTAATTTTGAATTTAGTCACCAGATACCGTTTTCAAGTGCTAGAGATCCCACGTGGCGTATCAATTCGACCTATATACTCTAATTTTGAATTTAGCCACCAGATAGCGTATTCAAGTACTAGAGATCCTACGTTGCGTAGCAATTCGACCTATCTACTCTAATTTTGAATTTAGCCACCAGATAGCGTATTCAAGTACTACAGATCCCAATACATATATCTCGATTGCTTTTAAAACGTACTGTATAATTAAATATTAGAATTCTCTTTGCATTTCATGTTTGATAATTGTTTAAGTGTTTTTTTGTTGTTTTTGTTGTTTTTGTTGTTTTTGTTAATGCTTTACCAGGAATAGTATGCGGAAAAGTAGACATTTTTTTTTTGTCAATACATATATATGTAACACATATGTTTTCCGAATGAATTAATCGTAAGTTATGATCCGGGAAAATACTACAATGATTCAAAAATCATTTATAAACAAGGAAAAGTTTAATACAATTTCTAATCATGTTACGTATACAATGTTATACAAGAATTTATTATCTACAATTCTTATTTATTAATTGTTAACAATAAGAATAATAATAATAATAAAATGAATCTTTGATAAGATTAGATTCAATATCCGCCATCTTGTATTACACTGCAACACTAAGAATATTCGTATATTATTAATCAATTAATCATTTATTTAATGATATTAATTATTAAATGTTTTTCTTTATTTTTTGTTAATTTATAAATTCGTCATAAAGGAAGAGAACAGATCTAAATTCTTGATAAATGAAAATGAGAACAAAGATGTCTACAATGCGGGTAGTAGTAAGTGATTGAAAGTCACTTATTTAAAGGAACAATGAAACCAACGTAAATGGGGAGTGATTGCTATCACTCACTATAATAAAAGATATTGTATTATTTTATTGATATCTTTTCATTATATATTTATATTTTATTATAAATATTATAGTTAATTTGAATTAATATTACGAAAGAATTACAATACTATGTGTGTTAACCTCTCAAATTAAAATCATTCGATTAATTCTAAATAATAAAATAATATAAAATAACAAAATAATATAATACTAACTACCACTATTTAAATTATATTTATTACATTTTAAAAAGGTTATCACATTATGTGGGTATATTAATTATTAAAAAGTTATAAAGGTTATAATATAAATATATATGAGAGACTTGAGTAGTTATGACTACTCAAATGATTGATTATTATTATTATGTCAAGAAAATATTAAACAATCAAATAAATATGTGAAGAATTATTTTTATAACTAAATAATTAATTATATATTTAATATAAAATTATTTTAATTAATTAAATGAAATAACCAAAAAAGAAATGCATTTTAGTAATTCCTCTCTATTGATTCGTAAATAAAATTTATTTATTATTATTAGGGTCCTGATATTCTATTGAATTAAACTACTACTACTAGAAGAAAAACGTTTGGTATAATTTAGCAAGAATAAAACACTGAAAGGTGGGTTACTGATAGCGGTAAGTAATGACCACCGGGTAATGTGTTGTATCTACTTTTCTAAGAAGCAAAGAAGAAGCTCTCCCTACACCTCGGGCATTCGGGTTTTTATTAAACGCTGCTGCTCTTTGTTCGAAATAAAAGAGAAAAAAAAATTGAAAAAAATAAGAAAATCTTTCGTGAAAATCAAAACTATTATCACTTCTTTCATTTTATGCTTAGTAAAATTTACAATTTTTTTTTCAACACCCCTTATAAATACCATTTCAAAAATTATATATATACATATATTTTATTAAAGAATTATTAAATTAAATAAAAAATTATTTTATTTAATTAAAGAAGATAAATTTAAACAAATGTAAAATCATTGACACGAAATATTTTTTTAAACAAATTTGTATTAGAAAATTTATTTCGATGAATTGTGCAAGAAAAAAAAAAGAAAAAGAATTGGAATGATTGTAAAATTCTCACGATTCTCTTCTTTACCCCCCACTTCACCCCCAATTCTTTTTTTTTCTTAATTTTATTTTTATTCTTAAAAATCATCCACCTACCACCCACACACACATCTTTAGTCTCCAATGACGTAATACAAAGAAGAACCAAACGATAACATTCATGGTGGTTAAAAAGGGGGTCGCGGAGAGTGAGCAAGAATGGAAAGGGAAGAAGGGGTTTAAAAGAAAAGTCACGTTGCAACCCCATGAAACATCTTATCCCGCCAATGAAAATGGTTCGAGCTACTGACAACCATTCGTAAACGGACCAATCGCGAAAGGAGATCGTCTTTGATCACGAAAGAGAGAGAGACGGAGAGAGAGAGAGAGAAAGAGAGTGAATGAGTGTGTGTGAGGGTGTGTGTGTGGTTAAGGAGAGGGAAAGAGAACTTAAGAAGATCAGAAAACAATGGTACCGTAACATTGCAGCTTCCGATCTCTTAGGAATCGGTCTCTTTGGCAGAATATTCTCTTCGTTACGTAAATAAAATATTTTTTTTTGTACAATCATCGAGAAAAAGAAAGATAATAAATAATTAAATTAATTTGTAAAGTTAAATCAAAGTTACATTCGTCATGAGTGGATCGGGAAAGGGATTACTTGGAATGTGGTTGTATCGAAAATCTGAAGGATGGCAAATCAAAGAAGGTAGTCCTATACATAAAAATCATGAGGTTAGTGTTATGGTTTAAGATTTTTAATAATATTTAATCAAATTGTTTTGTTCGGTACTCTAAATTGATTAATATATGTGTATATATACTATATATTTATTTATATATATTTTTTAATTATAATATAATATATTTATGTAATTATAAAATTTTAATTTAAAAATTTTTAATTTAATTATAAAATTATTAAATATATATATATATATATAAAATAAAAAATATATATATAAATAAAAAAAAATATTATATTATATAATAATATAATATATATATATATA